ACCACGACAGCCCGCGTTGCCGGCTCGCCCCATTCCTGTCAGGGTGTTGCGGTTGCTTTCTCACAAGCACGTTGGCTGTGTGGCGCCTTGTTCGGCTGAAACAATGTCTCCTTGATCCACCCATAGCAGTTTTGACGCCTCGGAACAAGCTTCTTCAGACGTGTTCTGGGGTGCTGCTCGAAAACAACAATGCAGCTCGTGACGCTTGCACAGGTCGCATAAGCCCCTGCAACAACCACACCGTGCCCTCGCAGCTGGAACTGGCTTTTATTTAAGCACGACGTTGCTTGTGCGTCGACAGATATCGTGGTTGGGCCGTGACCTTTGCCCGGGATCATGGCGGACCAGTCTCATTTACCCACCGCGGCGACCGAGACCAGCGCCATGCCCGAGGCCACGCGCAGAGCCGCTCGTCGCAGCTCACCAGTTCCAAAAGCAGCGCCAGCTACTCCCGCAGATGATCAAGCAGAGCTCGCGGCACAAAAGGCGACGGTCGCTGCCATTCAGCACGCAGAGGAGGCCCTCACCTCTGCCCCGCCGTTTGCCTTTACTCCTCGCCTCGACTCTTTTGAAGTGGAGCCCGATGGCGTGTACGTCTTTCGTCCCACCTTGGCTGAGATGAAAGATTTCAGCGAGTATGTTCGCTTCATGGAGCTGGTGGGGGCCCACCGCGAAGGCATCGCCAAGGTCCGTGATCCCTTCCAAAAGCCGCCACTGCTCCACCGGTTCGAAACGCCGTCTCCTGCTCGTTACCGCGAGAATTTATGCGGACATGGACCAATCTCGGTGTTTCTAGGTGATTGCGCCTTCTGACTACTGTCCTCGAAAGAGCGGTTATGACCTCGACGGGCCGGTGGGCGACTTTGTCGTGCGCAGTCCCATCAAGCAAGTCAGCTTCGGCTCAAAAGGTACGAGCTCTGCCGCACTTCAGGCCTCGAGCCAGCTGCACACCCCAGCGTCTCTTGATAAATCAGCTCTGGTATCCTGACTCTGCTCACGCCCATGATCCAGGCCTGTATTTTGTTGAAAATCAAGTGGTTCCGCGAATGTCGGCGCGAAAGTTCGCCGCCAAAGCCAGCAAGACAGGGCCCCCTGCCAAGGCCAAGGATAACCCATGCGCCATTGAGCGAGCCTTCTGGTAAGTACCGGCACATCACGATCCTCCGGCTTTGGTCTGCTCCAGGCTAGGCGCCATGCAAGGGGTAGCTCTGTGCCCGGCGTCCCCTATCGTCACTCATTTTCCTTGCGCCTGCACGCCCAGGCGTTCCATCGGGTTTGCCCCGGCCATCTACGGCGCCGATGTGGAGGGTAGCTTGACAGATGATGATGCCCAAGTACGTTTCGCGCGGACCAAGCGAGCCAGAGGTCATCCAACTCTTCATGTCTACCAGGCTGACATGCGCTCTGGCTTTCCACCCCTCCTCCCACAAAGGGATGGCGCGTCGCCAATCTTGGCACCATCTTGGACACTGTGACAGACCGGGAGGGTCGAAAACTACCTGGCGTCAATACGGCCTACTTGTACTTTGGTACGTCGACCCACCGTCTCGTCGCAATGCTTCTGCTCAAGTCCAGCTCATGCCCCTTGCTTTTCTTAGGCATGTGGAAGGCCATGTTTTGCTGGCATACAGAGGACATGGACCTTTACAGTATCAACTACATTCATACTGGCGCACCCAAGCAGTGGTATGCCATCTCCCCGGACCACGCAGGTGACTTTGAGCGTTTGGCCCATCGGTGAGTCTCAAGGCGCTGGGGTTTTGGTTCTCGGGGGGCGGATAAGTGGCTTGCGGCAAACTTTTGTTTTTCTTCCGCTGGCCTTTCATCTGCTCGTGCTGCGCAGGGAGTTTGCGACAGATTATCACAATTGTCGCAACTTTTTGCGGCACAAGACCTCCGTCATCTCACCAGCCATTCTCCAGGCCAGCGGCGTACCCATGGCCAAGGTTTGGACCATGCACGCAAGGCGCCAGTGCATCGACTTGCTGTTGTCTCCCCTGGTCAATCTGCATTCTCATTATGCCTTGCACGACATTTGATGCCTTGCCATGGTTTTACTTCTCGATGGTCATTCACCAGACAGTGCATCGGGCCGGTGAATTCATCATCACGTTTCCTCGTGCCTACCACGCCGGCTTCAATCATGGCTTTAACATTGCCGAATCAACCAATTTTGCAACAAATCGGTGAGTTGTGCCGCCCACCCATGCATTTTGACTCGAGCACGCGCGTTGACTTGACCGGAACTAATGGGGCGTGCGGTGTGCGTGCGTGTTGTGAGTAGATGGGTTGACTTTGGTATGACGGCGGAACCCTGTTTGTGTCGCGAGGACACGGTTCGCATCAACATGGATCCCTTTGTGGAGCGCTTCCGTCCGGCCATCTGGCAGGAGCGGTTGCAGGCGCAAGCTCGTCTCCGCGCCGCTCGCGAGGCCGAACTGGCCAGGCTTCGGGCAGAGGAAGAGGCAGCAGCAGCTGCTGCTCGTGCCAAAGCCGAGGTCAAAGCTCAGGCCAAGGCCGAAGCCCGGCGTGCGCGAGCCGCGGCTGCTGTGACCACCACCAAAACGACAGAACCGTGCGTCACTCACCCTCGTGTCTTGGATACATGCCAGTCATGCGTGCGGCTTCACTCATGTTCCTGTGCAATGCCATGCCCCCCCCCCCCCCCCCGCCTTTTATTCTTGCAGAAAGCCCAAGAAAGTAAAACGATCAACGCCTCCGCCTCGCGCGCCTCGACCACCCATCACCACGATCGCCGAAAAGGTCAGCGCAAACCATCAAGAACGCGCGTCTGTTTCGTATCAGATCGTGTTTGATCTCAACTCGCCTGCCCGACTGTTTGCATGGCTGCGTACGGGACATGGCCGGAATTGGGTAGACGTTTGCTCTTGAGGTGGCCCAGAACCGGGAGGCAGCGGCGCGCAGTGATGGACAGGTCAACTGTGCTGTTTGTCAGCAAAGTGGGACTCTGACCACACAGGCAGAGCCCGTTCTGGGCGCTACGGCGGCACATTGCCACATGATGCGGGTGCAGGGCCACAGGCATTTGCCGATTGAGCGAGCTACCGCCGCAACTACCCCAATACCCTTGTACTTACAGCCCTACATGGGAACCCATGACGAAATGGCAGGCGCGGAGCGTCTGGCCCCGGGCACCTTGGCCCGATTGGCCATGACGGACGGCAGTGTTCGCTACAGCCTTCAGCCGCAGCCAGCAACAAATTCCTCGGGGTCCTCGCCCTCTGGTGCGGCGCCAACTCCCACGAGCTCAGCGCATGGCTCGATCGGCACGGGCTCGCCATACCTGCATGCCTCAACAGCCGTTTCCACTTCACCACACGCGCCCGCTTCAACGGCGGCCACCGACAGCGCCACGTTCGCGCCCAATGCTACCGAAATTCAAGCAGGTATCTTGCAGTTCAGCCCCAAAGCAGCGTCTTGGCGGAGTGCACCTACTGAAATGCGTGCATTGTGTTCTCAGTTCCCTCCTCTTTGTGCTTTTGATTCTCGTAGTGGACCGGCCGCACGGACAGCCGCCGCTTTTTCAACCCCTCCTCCCATCTGGCAACACCCGTTGCTCATCGGACCACCCTTCCCCGGCTTCCCCTTTGTTCTCAGTGCCGGAGCCGGATTCCTTCCAATGTTTGCCCCCACAGCACCCGAGGCCCATGCCATGCTCGGCTGGCAGCTCGCAGCTCTCGCAAGACAGCACGAATCTGTCCTCGAACGAGCGACCTGGTTGGGCAATAACGCTGGGACACAGTAATCCGCGCGTCTTACCGGCAGGGGCCGTGGACGAAGGACACGACGACAGTGGTCTGCGCAGCAACGAAGATGAGGAGGAGGAGGCATTCAAAAATTCAACACGACCAGGCGAGCCTCATTGCGAATCCGTATCGCATGAGGACGAGCAAGAAGAAGACGAGGATGATGATGTTGCCATCAGTGATGCTCTTCTTCGCTGCCATTGGTGTGGTGTGGTAGTTCACCGCGGTGCGTTCTTCCTCCTCCTTTGAGACATAGCGGGTCCTTGCTTGGCACCCGGTGAATGGGAGTCATTGGTTCACCAGCTCTGTGGTCGTGTTTCGCGTGACCCGCAAACCTTTGCGACTGGGCATGTTGGCTTTTGGCTCGGGCTTGTGGGAGCGTAGATTGTTATGGTGTTCAGCCGCACGAACGTGCTCAAGGCTGGCGCTGTGACCGGTGCGTGGAGTCAGCCTTTGTCGTGCGCTGCGCGCTGTGTCCAATCATTGGCGGTGCCTTCAAGCGAGTTGTTTATGGTGCGTCCACGACTGTGTCTGGATGGCGGCACGCATCAAAAATCTTTGATGCAATGGAGTGTCGTTGCTGTCCTTGGCTGACCGTTGGTGGGGCATCCTGGAACCTTTAGATGCGCGGGCCCCCCATCCGGCGCAAGCGCCTGCGTGGGTTCATATGGCCTGCATGCAGCAGGTCCTGGAGGCACACTTCGAGGACTCTGAGCGCAAGACCTTGGTTGATTTACGAGACATTCCCGTATCTCGCTATCGTTTGGTACGTGCGCCTGCATGCTGGTACCATTGACTTTGGGTTTGAGCGATGAATGGGGATGCCTAGCCATCTGCTTCTGGCCTTTGCTCATTCAACGGCTTGTTGCACATTATTACAGCGTTGCTCGCTATGCAATAATGCACCGTCTCCGGCAGACTTGGGGATCACAGACCCCAGCATCAAGCTGTCGGCCATGCCCTGGATCCCAGCTAGCTCAGCAAATCGGGGCAAGGCACTGGGGGCTTGCATTCAAGTCAGTGCAATTGATCTGCAAGGCGCGCCGAATGAAGCGCACCCAGCACATGTTTGGGCGGGGGTTGTCGATGGCGATGTGACTTGCTCATGACTCGATGCTGGGTGATGTGGACTTTTTAGTGTGCGCGAGGCCGCTGCACTAGGGCCTTTCACGTAGGGTGCGCGCGAAAGCATGGCCTTGTCACCCAGGTGGGCGCAAGGCGTACGGCTCTGCTTCAAATGAACCAGTGAATTTTTGTTGATATTTGTGTCGACACATGCGGGACATGTCAATAGACTGTTTTGCTGCCAGGTCAAGAGAGGCCCTCCATCCTGACGTTTTGCTTGGCTCATGCGCCCAAGAGTGAGGTATGGTGCCGCTTAGCTTGCTCGCTCGCTAGCTACGGGCCCATCAGCCAGTGGTGGGGGGGGGGGGGGGGGGGGGGGGGGGGAACCCCCCCCCCCCTGGGGACTTTTTCCTGGGGGGCCCCGCCTTTAAAATTAAATTTGGGGGGTTCCCCA